CGCCTGTGTTGCACGGTGCAGCAAGTGGTATCTAAGCTTGTGTAGATCAATAACAAGCAGACTCCTACTTTCCCCTGCAAACTAATGCTAGCCAAACATATGCTGCAGGCAGCATGCTTGATCCCAACAAAAATCAATTGTCACCGAGCTGTTTTCGTCCTGAGGGCCCCATAGCACCTTGTCAATCACTGGCACACAAACCCCTTTTCACTTGGGCCTGCAAGATGCTCTTATGGAAGCTTAACTTTCTCAGCTTGGATTTATCTTGATTGGACATTTGAGTTTGATTGGAGGAGTGATGGGACACCCTTTGTACTGTGCATAGATTTGTCTTAGCATGCTTATGGACAATTCTGTCAGGGGCATCTTGTGTAACAATATATTTGAAAAAGTGCCTGGAAATTATTAGGTATGCCTGAAAAATATCTTTATTAGTATGGGTTAGAAAGATTTTATACCTCTTTTAGCAATTCCAGCAATGTCATAAACAAATGCTTTTGTATCTGTAGATTCAATGACAACTGGCAACAGGGATGTTACATCCTATATAGATTTTAATGGATTGCAGTTCATGACAAACTGAATTTACTTATTTTTCTCCGTGCTTACAAGTGACCCAAGTAGGTTGAGTTGTCATAGCAGCTTGCACGTCATCCATTGATGATTGTATCATGATTTCATGTGCTGTGAAAAGAATGTAATGAAATTTATTAAGGTTTTAAAGATTCTAGAGAAGCGGGTAAAATAGAAACCAATTCTAAAGAAACACCCCCCAAGCGGACAATGATTGGATATGCTGGAGTATCTAACTGATGGTAAGATTGACCTGTATCCAATATGTTCTAACCAGACAGACATCCCAGCAATGTCTTCACCTTGAACATATTAACCGGGCACTGATAGTTATCTACTGTTGCTTAGTAGCACTGCTATTATACAGGGCCCAATTCAGTCGGTTGCAGTCTGACTCCAGCATGATTGGAGTCCCCCAAGGAAAGAAACGGTGGCAGGGATGGCTGCAGATATAGTTCCTCTGTCCATCAGCACAAGGTACTAGACACTTGTATAGTTTACATCCATTCACTGTCTTGCAACCAATAGCCTATTCAGCATATGGATTTTTGTATTTTTAGAAAGTGATAATTTTCCAGAAATATTGCCCAGGTGTTCGAGTTATTGTGCTGTTAGCCTACTTACTGACCAGTCAGCTGAATGTATTTCACTTGACACAGAAAGCGATCAGCAATGAGGTCAGGGCATGACAGCTCCAGATCAATATGGCTGTTTTGTAATGGACAGGACCATCAATTATTTACTGCCAGAACGACTTCAGTGTGTCCCAACATACTCCACATTGATTGAAATATTAAACAGCTGTCATTGGTTGAAATTGGCTCGAGAACTCTTCTTTGACCTGATAGAAATAGACACCCAATTAACATAATATATCTTCCTTGTGGTTACAAAGAAGGAAGTCACAGAATGTATTGATCAGCTCTGCTTGGTCAGATGCTCCTAGTCGAACCTTATGCCTCTAGTTGGTTGCAAGTCAATGTTTTGGAAAGAAATACATATTACACACAATAGGGCATTTGTCCAGTCAGGTGTTGAGTTTGTCCAGCTGCATGACTGTGAAATATATGTAGCAAGAAACAATTGATTTCAAAAATGCAAGCCCAACCTCCTCTCATCAAAAATCAACATGAGGAAAATAATTTTCTAGAGTAGAGAAATGTATTGTGTATCGAAAGAAATCATTGAAGACATTTTGGTGTACTCTTGACTTTTTACATCTGTTTGTTCTGGGTTTAAGATCAAGGTCAGTTCTTATAGCAGTTAAGAATGTATATTAGTAATCAGTGGTGAAAGTCATAGGGTTCCTAGGTTCAGCTCCAGTATGTGAATGCTGGGATCTCCCAGTGTATGACTTCTGACATTAGACTCGGGAGTTAGAAATTAACACGGGTCTGCTTGGCAGAGACTTGCACAGTTCAGGGAGGACTATTAACATTTCCTTGTGGACTACCACTCTATCATTAGGTAGATGGCTATTCTCTAGATCATTCTTAGACTAATGAAAATATAAACTGATTTCAAACATGGAATCATGTCATCTATCTGTTATTTCAAGTACCTGTGTTGAATGTGACTGCATCTGTCAGATTCCCTCAGATAAATACATGAGGTCATCCATTGCAGGCAGTGTTGGTGTCAAATATAGGCTGGAAGCTGTTAGGGAAGGGATATCGCAAATCAGTGGTAGCCACAATGTCATTATCCCCCGCCGCGCGTTTAGCGCAAAGCAGGGGATATAGTATTAGGCTCCATCCGTACGTACGTACGAATTGGAATATCTTAAGAACCGTTCACTAGATTTTTTTCATATTTGGTACCTAGGTTCATCACACTATAAGAAAGGTCCAAGTCAGGTTTGGTGACCTTGACCTTCATTTCAAGGTCACAAGGGGACTTTAACGTTTTACCTGCATGTTAAGCTATCTCAAGAACTGTTCACTGGATTTTCTTCATATTCAATACCAAGCTTTATCTAGGGACGGCGCAGGGCCCAGTCTATTTTGGTGACCTTCACATAATTTTCAAGGTCATGGCGACACTTTGAAGATTTCAGCATGTTAACCTGCATGTTAAGCTATCTCAAGAACCGTTTCCTGGATTTTCTTCATATTCAACCCCAAGCTTTATCTAGGTAAGGCGCAGGGCCCAGTCAATTTTGGTGACCTTCACTTATTTTACAAGGTCACAGAGACACTCTGAAGATTTCAGCATGTTAAATTGCTTGTTAAGATAGTCAGCAAGATATCGCATAAAATATTCAGTGGATTTTCTTCATATTTGACACCAAGCTTCATCTAGGGAAGGCCCAGGGCCCAGTCAATTTTGGTGACCTTCACATAATTTTTAGGGTCACGACAACACTATGAAGATTTCAGAATGTTAACCTGAATTGTCAGCAAGATATTTTAAGAATGGTTCACTGGATTTTCTTCATAGACTTTCAAGACCTCCCTTGAATGTTTTTCAATAAGCAATTTCTTTAGTACTAGTTTTGCATATTTCATACACTATGACATTCATGTCAAGGTCAAAGTCAGTCTTGAAAATATATGTGTGTTTGAACAACTAAAGAGCAAGATAATGTTTTCATGACATTTAACTTCATCTTAAACTTTCATTACTTTATAAGTTTGATTTGATAATTTCGGCGGGGGATTATGTCACCATAGTGACAATGCTTGTTTTGGTTACAAGTTGTTAAGATGTCAACTAGAAAATGTTTTTACAAAAATATAGTAATTTTCTAAATTCATTATATATGCTCATCATTGAGCATTTGGGTTTTTTTGCTGAAGGAATGGTGCCAGTTTCTGATTTGGTTCGAGGCCTTGAGGGCATTAATTGAGAATGTATTGCTAATCTGCTGTAGGGGCTAGTGTTGGGAATTGGTTAAAATCTCATAATTGATGATTGCTTCATTACGATCAATCATTGAAAATAATTGGTTAGCATCATTTATGAAATTTGTTAATGCACACAAAAATAAGGGGGAAAACATGTAGTTCTTTGGGGGTTTTTGGCAAAATTTCACATCTTTAAAGGATGACTAGTATGTTAGGAAGATAAATTTCTTGGAGTCTTTAAGATAAATTCAATCATGACTTGGAACGAGCTTGTAGTGCTTATGAAATGTAACAGACAAAACCCACCTTGTGAAATATTTTGTTAATGAAAACAAGTGTTCCAGAATTGTTTGTGTTCGATTATGAGAAAACATGATCGATTGCTTGGTCGTTTAGTCACTGCGACCAATCTTCGATTATTTCAATTAATTGGACCACCACTAGTAGGGGCTAATTCTGTTCAGTCTCTCCTGTATACAGATAGGAAACTTGTGTAAAGTCCAGTCATTTTACTGAGAAGAACAGATGCCTTCATCTTTGTTGAGGGTGACCATGATGGTTTAGTCTATAGCCTAAACTCTTTGTCGCATTTTCTGATAGCAGCTGTTTTTCAAGCACAGATTGTAGACAATCCTCAGTGAGGATATTTGCCAGTCACTTGTCAGTCATTTCTGGTTCTACAGTCATAGTTGAGTAACACCTTACATCATTGATAGTTAGACCCACCTGTAGTAGTGGTGATGATGTCAGTCAAGCTGTTAGCCCCAGATTTACATTGCATAATGTATGCTTAATCAGTACAGCTTCTCCTGCTTGAGTGACAGGTCTCCATTAATGTGGGCACTTTTACATAACATGTTTACCATTGCTGTAAATGTGTGGATTGCTGTAGGTTTTGTAAGCAATGTGATGTATGGTCATGGGTCGATGTGCATAATGGTGTATGAGGTAACAATGTATATGTTATCTTGAGATTCATGCTTTTGATATGAATGTTGAGATGTGTGGCCATCTGTAAAACATTTGGCTAGAAATCCAGTATTGGATACCTTCCATCATTTATGTGAGGAATGTACACATGGCTCTCACTAGCATAACAGGGTTTCAGGGTAGGTCGGGGGAGGGGTATACCATACTTCCAATCAGTGACTTGAAGCAAATGGTGTCCTGAGTAAATGTCATTTTTCTGTCACTGAGTTTATGAGAACAATGATTGTTGTAACGAGACCATACTGGTCACCGATGAGGTTGCTGCATTCCACTGTGAAAATTTTGTTTTATACATTAACATTTGCCATAATTGAAATACTATGTAAAATATAAGTAATTAGTGAAAAGGAACTTCAAGACAAGACACTTTGATAATGTGCGATTTTTATATGGGATGTGTTGCTGCTTGTGTCAAAGTTTCAGGTAAATAGTGTCTTTAATCAAGTGCACATCATGGGGGATTTCTGCCTCTGAAACTGATTAATGTCTTATGATTATAATGCTTGTCTTTTGGGATAAACCGTATCTCTACCTTTGATCCTTCTTGTGGCCTTATGGCCATCATTGTGCTCTTCCCTCAAAATCTTACACAACAGTTCCAAACCAATTGTTGTAAGATGGAATGAGGTAATAACTGGTCATCTATTGATTCTTTTGCTATGCAAGTAACATAAGTAATACACTATTGAGATGATAAGTGATTTTTTCAATAACAGCGAATGAAGTTGTTTGAAAGGCCAACTTAGCTGTTGACTTAGCAGGGCGAGTTGAGCTCACGTCTTGATTACAGAGCTATTTGTGGTATCTGGGGTGGTTGTACTCTAAACTGTGAAACCACAGAAAGGATGAGTGGACTATTGCGTCAGCTGAACTTTGGACACAACACTACGCAGTATCCAAAAAAAGGGTTAAAGAATTAGTTATTTGTAGGGTGAAAATAGTCTTTTACTTGTTGTGATATTGTACAAGTATATATATAAACAGGGTTGCTGATGTTGCTTAGCAAAATTCACTCATCCATACTGTGAGTTGGAGTCTTGGGGACATCACATGTAGCTTGAATGATATAGTGTCGCTTCAGCAGGTGTCAGCTCGCCCAGTTGGACTTGTATACCCAGTTCCTGACCTCCCAAGGTGTGAGCTAATGTGACGACTGTCACACAAACCACTCTCCTGTAACCTTAGGTGTTGGTATGCATTGGAGATCTGTAACAAAATACGGGTCGTGTTGAGAATATTACCAACCCAAACATACCAATCCCATCACAAAATATGAAACCAAAATGTCCTTATATTTGTGAAATCATGTTAATTCTCAAATGGGAAAGATTAATTGAAGTTATTTACGTCATGAATTAAGGTTTGATAGTGTTGCTAGTCTTCAAGGATGAGACAATTGAAGATGAACAGTTGTAATTTGCTATGCACACGACATAGTTAAATATTTTTAGTATTACATAAATTTGGGCTTGCTCTTTCAACACATTATATCAACTTTGATATTAACTGAAGATACTTCCTGGAATAATTGCCACTGGTACTTGCTGTGGAGACTAACATTAATTCATCTGTGGTAAGGATTTCTTATTCCAGGCAGGTAGCAGGTCAGGGTACATTGTGCAATGTATTGATTGAGACAAACTCTTGCCCAGACTTGGCATGTGTTCAGCTCGAGGCATGCTGAGGTTGTTGTGGTGCTGGAGGCCTCATGGTTACATCTAACATGCATCCAGCACTTAATCACCCACAATACATAGCATGAACACTTCTCTGTATAGTCTAGCAGGCATGGCATGATTGAATGCTGGTTGATTTGAATAAAGGTGTATTTGGTTGATATGTTCATTTCTTGTTTCAGTGACAGTGAAGATGTTTTGTTTTTGAATTGATTGCTGAAAGTATGATCAACGCTGATGTCAAATACATCTAGTGTGTAAACAAGATATAGGGAATGTTATTTTGCGACAAATTATTAGTCCATAAAGAGGTATCTTTGATAGTTATTTTTTTCCATTTGGTCATGTTTTCACAAACTCATACAGTCTTATTTTTGTGTTTTGAAATCCAGTGATACACTGAATGTTTGAAAAGACAAATTAAATTTGAAAATTAAAATTTTGTCAGCAGCAAAAGTTTGCTTTTTTATATATTTCTACATTTGCTTCTTCTTTCTGTCAGTGTGTGGTGTCAGGTTTAAGAGCCTTAATAATGGACGGATTGTACAGCGAAAAATTGTCATTAAAATTGAATGAGAAAGTGCTTGTCATAGAATACAGTGTAAATATTGTTCCATAGTTATGCATAAAGAAAAAGGATGAATAATGGAATGTATAATTAATCAAAGATAAAAAAATTGAAAATCATTCATGTGACCAGATTCTCATAAGTTATTGTGGTTTAAGTTTAAGTTCTTTTAACATTAGGTTGATCAAAAAATATTCAGCATTCTTTTCATCTAGTGGTGTATTTTGGTGGTAGATTTTGGTGGTTTGATGACATTTTCTTTCTGTTTTGTGTTCTAATCTTTTTTTCTCTTCATTTTAACAGAGAGTTCTACTGAGCCTGACTTATCTTCCTGTAAGTGGTTTAAACATTGAGTCAGTCTCACCCCCTCGCATGTTGCTTTACATGGGGTACACTAGATGTAGTGGAATGCTTAGATTCTTGGGTTGCAAGGTTGTGTACATGTTGTCAGCACATCAATTGTTTTGTTCTCTTCGGTTTTAGATGTCTTCATGAATAATTCATGTCTAATTTGCTGCTATGCTTACAATGGGACTAATTCCTGGTTCCTGCAATAAGTATAACTGTAATGGCCTGCTATTGTGAGGGAGACCTACAAGCACTGATTGACCTGAGCAGAGAGGGAGATATATTTAGTTCTGTAGTACCATGCCGAGTCGGCGCAAGCCGTTTGTCATGGCAACTGCTGAAGAAAAACATTTAGAAAACATCAGAACTATGTTTTAGTCCCATGTTTGTGGATCAGCTGAAGATGTGTGGAACGTAAATAATATGAATTCCACACATGTAAACATACTTGAGAAATAAGAAAGAGTTTTTCTAGCAATGAAACACAACCATGTGTAAATGAATTACCTTTTTGTTTCTTCAAAAGGGAAAGGAAGAACTACCTGCCTGATTTGTATTAATCCAAAATTAAGGCTATCCTTCTTCATGCAAGTAAACATGGTAGAAGAGATCTCATTTTCACTAAAGTAAGTTCTTTTCCCCCATCCCCACAAAATAAACTTGAATTGTTTGTAAGAAGTCTGAAGTACTCTAGGGATGTATCTGGTCCTGCTCAAAGGCTGATGGTAGCCTGCAAGCATGAAGAAACTGACAATAAATATTCACAGTTTGAATTTAAAAAGATTATCTAAGGTGAAATTGTGCCTTTACAAAAATCAAATGTTTAGCAATATCGGCAGTTTTTCCCAATTTGTCTGTTAAATTTGAACCCAAAATTTATCCCTATTCATTTCAATGTGTAATGAGATAATTTCATCTGCAATATCACCCTACACCTTTCAGGTCTTAGTGCTTGGTAGTCAAATGGTTCAAGCAGTCCCCAAAGTTCAGGCCCCAACATGGATATTGTTTGTGAAACCTGTTGTAGAAGGCCTGTGCCATATGGCAGGAGTAATGTTAACGCTACCTAAAACCTTGTCTTTGCTTGAGGAGTAAGGGCCATTCAGGATCTGCATAGCAGAATTAATTTCACGAAGATTGGTCGTAGTGAGTTTGTTAATAGATGTGTGCTTTTTTTAGTCATTCTTTCCTATCAATTACAACACTTCTTCCTGTCTTATTCACACATAACAGTACACTTGTTGTTGTGACATTGCTTTATTTAAATTGCTTTAAATTGTCTGTTATTTTTTATAATCATACGTTTAGTTTCAGTATAGTTTTGTTTCAGGCATTTACATGACAGTCAGTATGTCATGTTTGGTGGTCTTCATGTTGTGGTGTCCTTAAATAGTACAGATTAAAATACTTGAATAAACAGTGGGTGGGGATGAATCCACAATTGTCCAGTTTGACCACGGTGTATGTAGGTCAGCCAGTGCATTCTGTTAGATGGGAATAATGAAATGACAATCTGTATGCCTTTTAGTAATAACAGTCATCTAAAAATATGTCCATTACTCCTGTAATAGACTCGTGTATCTGACCCGTGTCGTATGATGGGAATGGGCAGGTGGCCATAAGAAATCTATCAGCATGGTATCTCACCGGTGGATTGTCAGCGTACAGGCTACACTAGACTAAGGCTTAGTCTCTGAATATATATAATTTTGATAGTAACAAACAAGCCCATTTAAATTGAAAAGGAGCCCTAGGGAGACCAGAGATTCAGAGAACCTGGGGAAATCTAGACTTGCTTCGTTTAGGGCTTTAGCACTACAGGGAAGGCTAGGCTGTAGGGAAAATAATGTGGTTCAGGGACTGTGAGACAGACTAAGGCTACACATGTATGTAGGTAGGCCGGCTGGATAGCCCACAGCAGGCAAGACTAGGTTTATAGCCTGCGTGCTGACTTGACAGAGAGGTGTGCTGCCCTCAACGTGGCTACTTGGATCTCTACGGAGGGCTTACTCCAGGCACTAGGATCTCTTTTTGTGGCCATATGCTTCAGTAACAAACACTACACTTGAGACAGCTATGGAATCTGGTATGGCATCAGGAAATCTATCACTCTGGGGAATGCGTGGTGATCAGGGAGGGTAACAAAAAACAGATTTAAGGTGTAATTCAGGCAGGATCTGTTGATAGTTGCCTACCTGAAGACCATGTGGGCAGACAGGTGCTTATGATGCTCTAGCATATGGTGATAATAGACTATTCTTTTTCAATTTTTTAAATAATTTTATTTTCATTGTATGAATAAGTCATTTGGAAATTAAAACAGCTATAATGATTTCGTACCATATGTTTAGTTGAATATGTTTTTGAGTAGAAAGCAGTGACACACGTTGATTATTAGCATGATGGATTAGGAGAAAGATGGATTATTACTGGTATGTGTTTTTCATCATATCTGGACACACCTGTCTAGGGAAATATAAAGGATAGTTGTAGTTTTAGGTAACAGCCTGTCATGATTGCTCTGATATAGTTTTGTGAGCACAGCTGTAACAAAAGATAAAATTATTAAGCTTAGAATTTTATTACAATCCTGATAAGTTTCACAATAAATGATGCCAGTATCATGGGGACGTTTCTGTACTAATTTAAGTGGCTAAAACATTCCTAAACTGTGATGTATTGACAAGGATGGGTACAGTTGTTGGCCATATTGCAAGTAACCTGATCGGGTGTAAGTGTGCCACCTGATGTGTTCTGTATACACAGAGAGGCTATGTGATGACTGAACTGTGGACACAGAAGGCTTAACCTTTGTACAACTCCCAAACACCACACTGGTCCCGTGGTAATAGAAACAATTAGTTGATCAGATTACATGATCTACTTGCAACAGTAAGGCCTTTTGCTATAGTTGAGTTGAGTTGGGCTTTACGTCACATCGTTATTTTAAATTATTCCAGCCATATAGTGATAGTGTAGTTAGGGTCTGGAGTAAATATTGGTGTAAGGGTTGTGTTATTTTAATGTGCAGATTACATGATCACTTGCAACAGTAAGGCCTTTTGCTAGGGTTGTGTAGTAAGGTTCTGGAGGGTTGTGTTATTTTAAATATTGTGTGTAAGGTTCTGGAGTAAATATTGGTGTAAGGGTTGTGTGATTTTAATGCAACCAGTCAGGACATGTATTGTAAATAGTAGTTGAACATTTCCTTGAAGGGGTGAGATCATTTTCAATTATTATAGGTGTGGAGTGGCACGGGTGATCATGGAAGACATATTTTGTTAATTGTTGGAGATGTGGGTTATAAATTTGACATCCTCCTATTTTATTATCAATAAAAAATCTGTGGGTCTCCCAGCTTGCAGGGTCAGTGAGGTAGCCTAGTGGTTAAAGCGTCCACTCGTCACGCCGAAGACCGGGTTCAATTCCCCACATGGGTACAATGTGTAAAGCCCATTTCTGATGCCCCTGCCATGATATTGCTGGAATATTGTTAAAAGCGGCATAAACCTAAGCTTAATCACAGCAGGCAATCCCTGAGACAGCCTTGAAAGGTGTGACATAGCAGAAAGGTCATTTCTGGGGCATGCATTTATGCAGAATTTTATTTACCTTAATCGCGGCCACGGATCTCTCAGAACTTGAATTCAAGATCTCATCACTTTAAATCATGCATAAATTAATGTGAAGTGAAGTCAATTCGACATTTTAATGCCCTGTCATGGATTTTTGTTGCAAGGTGCATGAATGCTGCTTCACATTTTCGGCAATTGAACACCTTAAAAATATTGAGGAGACCTTTAGATCTCTGTGTGGCTTTTATATGAATTCATATGAAATTGTTATCCAAATTTTAAAAGTATACTGACTGACTGACTGAATTTCGTTTTACGCCGCTTTTAGCAATATTCCAGCAACATCAATGCGGGGGACTTTAAAAGTATAACATGAGTGGGAAAGATGTTAGAATTTTTCATACTTTAAGCAAAATGTTAAGCGCATTGTGTTAACGGTCTACAGGTGTGATTTCATGAAGCATGAATGCTTTTTATAGAGTGTTTTCAACTTAGTAAATAAAATATGTAACATGCACAACCAATCTCTTCACCAGTAGCTACCTTGACAGTATGAAAAAACACTATCAGTGATTGATAGTACGGAAGACATGGATGAACATCTAATAATTCATCTGTTACGGCCTAATGCTTTAACTGATACTCTACATCATGATATCCCAGTATGAAATTAAGAAGCTGACACAGAACCTGATGAAGTCCAGTAATTCACAGGCCCCCTGGTCCGCCATCCCATCAGTAAGTAGGGGGCAGAGTGTGTGGAGGTGTTTCTCCGTGTTTATAAGCAGGACATGGCTACTGAGTAGCACAGTATGCATCCCTGTGTAACTGGAAGAGAAGTCGTACATCAAAGCAGTTGCTTGTCCTCAAACCTGTTGGCAGTGTATTAATAGCTTCACTTAACTGTGATAACAACACAATGTGTTGATGAACCGGGTCATGTTGAATGTCCTGCTTATGTGTTAGAATGTGAGCCATTCGGGCATGGCTTGGCTGCACTTTTGTATGTTTAAATAATGAAGGAAAGTGATGGGATGTTTGAACTTATGAACCCTTTTTAATCTTTGCATTATTAATGTGTTAATGTTGACTAATTATGAAATGTATCTATGTCATCGGAACAATTGATGAAATTGCATGTTGACTTGGTGGACACAAAATATAAAAATGAAAGAAAAAAAAGATATCGGATATATAGGAATAAGTCTTAATGGATGATCAACTTCTTTACTGTACAATAGCAACATTTAGGTATAGATATACCGTTTTCAAACATTTTGTCATTCCTATTCTTTACAACTTCTAGAATGACTCTCAAACAGTTCATCTGATATATAATGTACAAAGAATTTTGTTGTGAATACCTGGACTGTCAAGCTTTATAAACTGTAGTTTATTATCACCTGGAAGCTTTCAATACAAATTCCCTAGTGTGGAACTATAACAAAGGTAAACAGTCCTTACTGGTACACTACCTATCATATCTTGTTTGTCAGCCTGTTTGAACTGCAGCGTCCCCCAGTAAGCTTACTATTGAATATTGAATGTTGCCCCAAGTGCCACTTGATTACATTCCCGCTATTGCAACTGGTGTCAAGGCTAGCCGTAGGCGCCCTGCGCAGCATCAGTTGTTGCCATGGCAGCCCATTATGCATTAGGCCTTGTTATGAATAGATCACTGTTGTGAGAGGCCCATTACTCTGACAGTTTTCCATTAAGCAGTGACCCAGCTAATGCATCTATTTTGCATTGGTGAATGATATTATTCATTTATGCTAATCATATATCTATCAGACTATGATAATTAAGATAAAGCAAACTATGACGGTTGCAGCTATTTAAAAATGACCTCATGTAATGACATTGTTGTGTGTCTCCTGTCAGGTTTGCCGAGATGCATGGTTGAAAAAGAGATGCATGGTTGATTTTTTCGCAACATGTGAGCCTGAGGTCAAAATCTTCACAGAGTTATCCTGTTACTATCCTGTAAGCTCTACATGTGTTCGGGCATATATTTCAGTGTTACCATGACATGTGGATTGTTGTTTGCTCTCTGTATTTGATTCAATGTATACCTGTTCTCTGCCTTCATCTTCTTCAATCAATGAGACTGACCTTGAGGAGCCAGGTCAGTGTGACATGACTGGTGTTGAAGCTTCAGCCAGTTTCAATGAATAAAGGATGACACTTAAAATGAAGGGGAAATGAGAAACTCGTGTTACAGAAGATGTCATTTGCTCATACAGGGTTCAAATAGGCAATTTATGGTTCCTTTTGAATAGCTTTGATCTTTAGTTCCAAACTTGAAAATCACCAACGTGGCTTGAAAAGCCTAGAATTTGTACAGAATGACATGTAAAAGTGTGCAAGTTTATTTGTGAAAATATATCTTGTTGGAAGATTTGTGACATTCATACTGATTTTTTGCTCTTATGAATTTTTTGTGGTATGCTGGAGTTTTAAAAAGTCTTCTCTTACTAAGGCTAATAATCCACCTAAAAGATCATTGAAAGAGACAGTTGGAAGCCGTGAAAGGTCTTAATTTTAGTGTTCCTTATGTATCTTGTTGAATCTTGATTTACTTGTTTGACAATGCTGACATGTTTGTGTCTATCAAAAGGCTGAGTATTTAACTTGTTTTGAATGTTCTTATTTGTTTGTTAGATTCATTTGAAAAATGGATGTACATGTGTAAACATGGAAGCTTGAAATATAATTTGATATGATTGAAATGTGATTCAATATTCTACATTGAATATTTGTCTGTCTCAGTTTTGGAGCTGATATACTGGCGTGATGTTCGGAAGACAGGTGTGGTGTTTGGGAGCATGATGTTCGTGCTGCTCTCCCTGGCGTTCTTCTCAGTGCTCAGCGTGGTGGCATACCTGTCCCTTGCGATGCTCACCGTCACCCTCAGCTTTAGAGTCTACAAGAATGTCATGGCCGCCGTTCAGAAGACTGGCGAGGGACACCCATTCAAGTAAATAGTCCCAAATTTGTGAAAATCTTTTTCTGTAATTAAACCATTTTAACCTTTGATTTGAAAACATAGGTAATAGTAAAGTGGCTATGAGGCATGATTAGGAAGAACATTTTACTTCATGGGCCCATTGCATATTGGTTACAAAATGTATTGACCATCTTAGGCCATTGATTATTTCATTGTTCCATAAGTTCTCATAACCTTACAATGACGGCAGCAGATAAACACTTTATTCTTTGTAGCTGTTTGTCTTGAAACTTCAAACATATCTAACCAGTTTAAACTGCATTTCGGAAGGATTAGAAAGATAACTCGATTGATTTTGTATGAATGAATAATTTAGTGTAAAGAAATCGGTGACTCATTGGTCATGATGATGAAATTAAATTCTAATTGGAGCAGTTGGTGTAAAATTGGTGTGTGTAGGTGAATTTTAACCATTTTAATAAGAATATGCATATGACTAATCCTGACTGAGTATTTTATAAGAATATGACTAATCCTGACCTTCCCAATCACTGTGTAATGCGAACACTTGTCTTTAATAATTCCCCCATTTCAAAGGTGTAATTCTATATGACCTTGACCTTTCAGGCAACATCTGGAAATGGACCTTGACCTTAAACAGGACAAAGTTCAGCCAGTTGTGGAGACCATTCTGAAGCACCTTAATTGCACAGCAAAGGAAGTTCGCAGGCTCTTCCTCATCGAGGATCTTGTGGACTCCATCAAGGTCAGTACAAGGGAGATAATTATTACACAGGCAATTAATGAAGAAATTCCTTAAAAAGTGCAATTGTAATGACTGTTCATCATGTACTTCACGTGTCTCCTGAGATGGACAAACATGAAATTATCTTCCATCTACAACTACACAGATTGCCTGTATATATGGGGTGGTGGTGTAGCATAGTGGTTAAAGCATTCACTCGACATGGTGAAAACCTTGGTTTGATTCCCACATGGGTACAGTTTGTGAAGCCCATTTCTGGTGTCTCCCCCTCTTCTTCTTTCTTCTTCCTCTGTAACAACTTAGTTTTCGAAACATCTCAAGTATTTTAGCATTGCATTGATAACATTTGAGGTAACAATGAGAACATATTTAACTGTTTCCAGTTTATTTCCTTTAGTGCTTTAGTGGTTTCACTCCCATTCATTTTGCTGTCATGGATAATGGGATTCCAAAGTGCACTTGCCTCAAGTTACCAATGCTTGTTATGATGGATGACTGAAATGGATATTTTGGGAGATTGTGTCAGTATGCCCTGATATGTGAACGTTTGTCCACTGTCATTTATGTGTTGCCAGGACAGGCTGGCATTAGGTACAATGTTGCTGAATGTGTCATATCAAATCATTCGCTAATTGCCAGGGTTGATACCTTTAGGGTTTCTAATGAAGTTGTGATAGCAAAATATGGACTCCTTTGTGAATACCTGTGTCCATCTCTTGCAGTTTGGCCTGCTTCTTTGGGTCCTCACATATGTCGGTTCGTGGTTCAATGGAATGACACTTATTATCCTTGGTAAGTCCAACGTTCTTTGTCCACCTATTCCAAAAGTTTTATGTTCAAACTTAATTTTTTCAAACAATGGAAATATTTTCAAAATTTACCTCAGCTGTTCATCTGTCGTTAACTTCTCCATTTTTTTATTATTTTTTTTTAATCTCTGAAACTATGTGGCATGTGGATCTGAAACTTTGTATGAATGATCCGGGCCTTGTGTGTCTAAACTGTGCTCAAAGAATTTGTATTTTCAACATGGCAGATATGACTGTATGCAAAAATTCTGTGAGACAATGAATGATTCTTTCCCAGTTACTGTAAAATAGTTGCTGTTTACCACAATCTTTCAAAGGCTTCCACAAAACATTATTGTGAAATGTAAGATCAGTGGCACATGTGTTTAACATGTTCTTCAAGCATCAGTGTACTAGAGTCTCTGTTAAAATACATGCATTGTCTTCTTTCAGCTGTTGTTGCAATTTTCACATTACCCAAGGTGTACGAGACGTACAAGGTACGTACAATTGTTTTATGTTGTCTGTCATGGCATACAATTGTTGGCTGAACATTAATGTCCTCATTGGATTTTCACTTCTTTATCTTTATCTTTATAATTTTAGATCTGAGTGTGACAAGTGTAAGTTAAGATAAGTTATCTTTAAGTCTATTTAAGTACTTTATCTATGAGATAAGTACTGTAATTACCTTCAAATGGCTGAGATGTACAGAGTAACAGTATTAGTTTAACTCTCAGACTCATAATTTCAGATGTGTTTCTTTTGAGTTTCATTGAGTTTTCATGTGTTTTCCAAACATTCACAGGTTCAGATCGACAACTACGTCAACATGGCACAAAGTCAGCTCAACAACATTATTGCACAGTGAGTTCATGTTACTTTATTGAAAATATATGATGCAGCATTTCCTTGGCTTCTCCCAAGGGGATACTCTAGTTAGGTCCCATTTGGAGATAAAGGTTAAGCGTCAAATTTTTTTATTAGCTGGTAAACATTATATCGCCGCATAGAAAGCAACCACACTTACAAGACCCTTGTACAAACCTTCAAAATCAATGCTATTTTATTAACCCTCTCTAAAATTATACACGACCCTGAAAGGACATCATCAGAGCATACATGATCCCTAAATTAGTAATAAAAATGTGTTTGTGTCCCAGTATGTTTTACATAAGGCTTGTCCTCGTAGAATTCCAACTCATGGCACCATTTTGTGTGTTGACATGACACAACTCCAAATTGGTGCCAATGATAAATTCTGTTCATTTATGTACTGAAGTAAGTTAGATGAGGAGAGTCTGTACCCTGTAATATATGTTTCAATCAACTAGGCTTTGTTTTGTCTTCATATGAACATGATTTTTCAAGTCTTTAATACACACCTTTCCAACACTTGGTTATGCACGTTAAAATGTATATAGTATCAGGGGCAGTGGGGTAGCCCAATAATTAAAGCGTTGGCTCGACACGCCAAAGACCCGGGTTCGAATCCCCACATGGGCACAATATGTGAAGCCCATTTCTGGTGTCCCCTGCTATGATGTTGCTGGAATATTGCTAAAAGCGACGAAAACCAAACTCAGTCAGTCAGTATATAGTATTAGGTTTACTGGTTAGATATCACTTGTTAGGTCACATTGGCAACTCATCAGGGATGTCTCAAGTTATGAAAATATGGTTTCATTGTTGGTTACACTTTTTCTACTTCGTAGTATATTTCAGTATGACAATTTAAATAAATATGTTTTTATGAAAATCTAGTGATTTAAATGAAATATAGACGCAAAAGTAACTGTTATGCCACATTTTGTTGGAAAATTTGAGATCCCTACTCATACTTACTACCATGGCTCTCCCATGGTAGGGACTGTTTTGTTTCACCAAACATCGAAATGGTACACATCATAAACTGCATCTTTTTAAGCTTGCCGTGACAGTGGGCTAGCCTAGTGGTTAAGGCATTCGCTCGTCATGCTGAAGATGCGGGTTTGATTCCCCACATGGGTACAATATGTGAAGCCCATTTCTGATGTCCACTGCCGTGATATTGCTGGAATATTGCTAAAAGCGCGTAAAACTAAACTCACTCACTCAAACTTGCCTTGCACAAAAAATGCTATGTTGTAACTGGAATTGGTTTGTAGTGGTTTTAGTAGTTATACTTTCCTCTTTGAGTTATTACAATCATTACAATGCTGACAATACTGCTGTTCCAGGGTCCAGGCTAAAGTTCCCTTCCTGAAGAAAAAGGAAAAGGCACAGTGAAGGAAAAAAACCACCTGATTGAGCAGCAGGTACAGAATAGTCACTGATATCTTGGTGAAGCTTCATACGTATGACATGTCTGTCCATCTGTGTGTTCGTTGGTTGTCCGTCAACATTGTTGGCGGAAGCGGGTTGGTGTCAAGTGCTGCCTTATTTGCATTATTTCAAAAAAAAAAAAAGAGTTTTTTTGTGGACTTTTGTATGCAAGCAAGATATGAAGAATGTGGCTACTTCGTGCATTGTAAACATAGTTGCTATGGAGCACAGTGGAGGCCAATCTCTCTGTGACTTTTGTCCAACCATTTCGCTGTAGTCCGGAGTTTCTTACATTTGTTTCTTAGACGCCTGTGTATGCAACAGCTGTTCATCCGAGTATGCAGATCTCAGTTGATTTATTTCATGAAAGTTACCATGTTCTCCCATTGCATTGCACTTGGTCTCGTCATGGCGATGTGCTGGTGAACATTTGAATGTGAACAACAAAACACAGAGAAGATAATTATCCCCGTTTGTATTGTACTTGTAAACAATTGCAATATTTATATCACTTGTAAATGATGCTTGTGTAGTGTAGTGTGTTGAGTGTCAGGGTGAACAATGAAGGTATTGTCATCACCGTAGTCACAGGCTGTTACTATGGAGACGTAGTACATATGTACATCCCTGTCATCCATGTTCCGTGATTCAACAGATAGATGTAGTGTTGTACAGTCAGATTTTGAACCAATAGTTTCTCGACTTTGTTTTCATTGTAGATGGCATACATTATTTTCTAAGAATTATCTCATACATTCACGTGTAATATGAAGGTGTAGTGTTTCAGTTTGGAATTCTTGCTCAAAATTTAGTGTGGTATGTCTGATATGTTGCATGTAGAGCTGACATATTTATATTCAAGTCAATAAATAACCCAGCACGCTATCTGTGGGTTGATTTCACCTATAATTAAAGACATTTCTCTAAACTTTTTTCTTAATCACTGGATTGTCAATGCATTTGAACTTGACTGTGAATAAAATTTCTGTAAAAGCTTCTTTTGTGAGTTTGTTGGACATACATTTTGTGAAATTCTCAATGAAGTGTTATTTCACATACTGAACCAACTGGGGAATTTGCTGGAATATTGCTGAATGGGGCGCGTAATATTGCTGAATGCTGAGTTAATCAACAAACCAACCAGCCAACGACTGGACCAGAAGGGATGGAAATTTGTTACTGCTGGATATCTACTTCCTCTGAAGATGTGGCATGATGTATCCAGAATGTACTGTGTTTTTATTTAACATGATATTGTAAACTATAGTTCGGCATGAAATGCATGTGGACCCGTTTTTTTGTAAATATCTCTTCATCCAATGACCCAATCGATCTCAAACTGTGCAAGTGGATGTTTTGTCAGACAACCTAATCACATTGTAAATCACCGATTTTATGCATTTGTATTAACGAATCTGTCTATGTAACTGTCAACAAAATAAACAGCAGACCGCAGACTGCTGGCAGAGGGAGAGAGCCAGTGACCTGTAACAGCGGCAGTGTTGGGTCATACAGGTAAATGCACGTGCAGTTCATGATAGTTACCTGTGCTCTGCACAGTGATAGACCGTTTGGATCATTCACATTGACTACTTCTAGCTGTCATCATGAAAGCTTATTCAGATGATGCTAAACGTTTAATTAGAAATGTGTTGAATTTAAAAAAAAAAAGAGAGCAAACGTAGCAAACCGATTTATAAGGTGTCGGATTACATGAAACGTACATAGCTGACCTACATTGAAGAACGTTGACCTTTATGACCCAACACTGCTGCTGTTACAGGTCATTGGCTCCCTCCCTCTGCCAGCAGTCTGCGGTCTGCTGTTTATTTTGTTGACAGTTACATAGACAGATTCTTTAATACAAATGCATAAAATCGGTGATTTACAATGTGATTAGGTTGTCTGACAAAACATCCACTTGCACAGTTTGAGATCGATTGGGTCATTGGATGAAGAGATATTTACAAAAAAAACGGGTCCACATGCATTTCATGCCAAACTATAGCAGTGGTGGTTCCAGAAGAAACTAACATAACAAATCACCTAACAGTTAAGGTTCATCTGTATGTGGGACGGGCCAATATATAAATAAGGGAGGTAACTAAACCTACACTATCAGGGCAGGGTCAAATACATGCTGATTAAGCATCAAAGGATGTTTTCACACTCCAAGATGCCCATACCTTAGGTACTCTAAGGCCCACTTGTACAAAGCAATCTTGACACTACAACGATTGTAAGACTGTGTTTCTTATGTGGATTAGGTCCTAGCTTTAAGATCACTTTGTGCTAGTGAACCCAGAATAATTTTGATTCTCAACAGCCCATGTTTCCATGTTTAAAATGAGGCTGAGCACAGTGTAGTGAGATTTTCTGAAAAGGGACAACAGGTTAAAGGTTGGACGAAAGGTGAAGGGATCATTTATCTGAAGGGAGACTGTCTATATTACTTTGGCCATTAAGAAAAATAATGTGTAGGCTACTGATCTGGTTGCCATGTTTCTACTTCGTTTCTTGCCAACATAAGGTTTCAACATGATGTATTTGTGATTACTCTTCCTCAGTTAGGTAGGAGCGGTGGGGTAGCCTAGTGGTTAAAGCGTTCGCTCATCACTCCGAAGACCCGGGTTCGATTCCCCACATGGGTACAATGTGTGAAGCCCATTTCTGGTGCCCCCCACCGTGATATTGCTGGAATATTGCTAAAAAGCGGCATAAAACCATACTCACTCACTCCTCAGTTAGGTACAGATTTTTTTACACCAGCTATATACACAAATGTTGAAATAGTTTCAACACAACAATTTCATGGTCTGCCAGGTATTTCAACATTATGACATGACACATTAGCGTGGAAACATAGATGTCTCCATGCATGGGCAGATCCAGGAATTTTGAGAGGGGAGGGGAGTCGAACCCCCTTAACCACCCCTTGGCTCTGCCAACGCAAAAAAAAAATAAAAATCTTCAATGTGGTCTTAAGTCCCCCTTGGATCCGCCCATGCCATGGGTAGAGTATTTAGGGGGGATGCACCACACATACATTGCTTGGGAATAGAGATGACCACACCTTTAACATAATGCAACTCGTTGTGCTTGGGAATAGCGATGGCCTCACGTTTAATATAATGCAATTCGTTGTGCTTGGGAATAGAGATGGCCTCAAGTTTAACATAATGCAATTCGTTGTGCTTGGGAATAGAGATGGCCACACCTTTAACATAATGCAATTCGTTGTGCTTGGGAATAGAGATGGCCACACCTTTAACATAATGCAATTCGTTGTGCTTGGGAATAGAGATGGCCACACGTTTAACATAATGCAATTCGTTGTGCTTGGGAATAGAGATGGCCACACGTTTAACATAATGCAATTCGTTGTGCTTGGGAATAGAGATGGACACACGTTTAACATAATGCAATTCGTTGTGCTTGGGAATAGAGATGGCCACACCTTTAACATAATGCAATTCGTTGTGCAAAGTTGCAGGCCATACCAGGATGAAACCCACATTTCCATACCAAAACATTTTCGCATTCTAGCGATCATAAGTCGGACAAGATGGTGGACTTTGCTGTGCAGAGTTCCGCCTCTTGGGCATGACATGGACCTGTTGCCTTCGGTTTGTAGACCAGATTTACCAAGATTGTTTCTACGTTTATCAACACCAACCCCGCGGTTGTGGGATTCATCACAGTTGTAATGCGTTAGGCCTTCAACTGGGAATTTCCTCCCCCTTTTCCAGGCCTGCTTTAATGCACCTGAAATAATGTGCAGTAAAGCCAAAGGCAGTCGTCAATAGATTGCCAGCGATAATTTTGTTCCCTGTATAGGTCGCCTATGTAAGTGTCCGAATGGGACACGCCGACGACCTTGGTTAGACTCCCAACATTGGCACAATGTGAAAGCCCTTTTTTGTGTCACCGTCCATGATCTTGGTGGCATATTGTCACTGACTGATGTTGCTGGAATATTGCTAAAAGCGGAGTAAAACCAGGTGTCAGTTCTTACATATATACCCGGTTCAAAGATGATTCCACGGGCATCCTTTGTGACACTACATCCTCGTATTTTAGAAAGAAGAGCTGTATCAAACATGAACATTAATTCTTCAAGACATCGTGACATCGGACTTATATTTACATCACGATTATCCAACGTATGATATAAATTATAATGGATATATGTCCAGCGTTGCGATGTTACATTCAGAAAATTATTTACTGTCAAACAACAGTGCTATTTTCACCCAATTAAGCATTAAGTCAGAGACCAGCTTTCCCTTCAGATTCGTCAAGTGCTGCCCAGTGTATCATCTTGTGGTGGGGTGGCCTTGTTCGATCGTCACGACGAAGTCCCGGGTTCGATACAATGTGTGAAGCCCTTGTCTAGTGTCTGGTGTCGCCCACCGTGATATTACTTTAACCCATCTTGATACACTACTTGAGAAATAATAGCAGTATACACTTGCTTCACTTACACTCCTCATAATTTACTCCAAAATATTAAGTACAGAAGAACAAGACCATTCTGTACTCTACCCTCACTCGTCGCCAGAAGCAGAACCCTTTCACGAAGGACTTCCGTAATAGAAGACACGACGGTAATCAATCGACAGTCGTGCATATCTATTAGTCATAAGAATATCGAGTCAAACTAAACCTTACTTTCTGGCTTGACAAATGTTCGATTATATAATTCCCAGTCTGTTACCATGTGATATAAATCTGGTGTATAGTTCATAAAGATAATTCACCAGACAACTGAAGAAGAGTGAATGCTTGCAAAAATAACATGACTACCAGAAATAGATTGTTCGCGGTTCAACTGTATTCGCCTTGCACTTAGTTAGTCTGGTATGTATATGTCTTATGAAGTTCCCCATCGCCACACACATCTTTTCCTCCACAAAAATATATCTACACTAGTCACCATACACTCTAGAACAAAAACCTCTCTTCAAGGGTATACTTAGTTTGAACCGTCCTGGAAATAGCAACGGTCGGTATAAGCCCCACAGTCTGCTTCACAGACGCTAATCAATAATAGATCTCTCGGCAACATTTCGCTCTTCAGAACATATTTCTATGCAGTACATGTAGAGGTATTCAATGAGAGCCTACACTACACGATAACATTCACAGTGGAAACGCTTGGGATCTCTTGTTACGTTTGGCTTAGCAACCGATGCGTGTTGCGAGGGTGGGGTAAGGCGCCATGGCTTCTTTGCGTGTGTTTCGCCGTACCCCGACGGACTGGCGGATGTGTAAGTGTTTGTTTGTTGTTTAACGTCGCACTCAGCAATGTTCCAGCTATATGGCGGCGGTTTCTAAACAATCGAGGCTTTACCAGACAATCCAGTGATCAACAGCATGAGCATCGATCTACGCAATTGGGATACGATGACATGTGTAAACCAAGTCAGTGAGCCTGTCCACCCGATCCCGTTAGTCGCCGAAGTGAAAGAAGAGGTGTTCCGATATTGGGACAGCTGATTGCGAAATACACACCAAACAAACACCAATCCAATCCAGTGATCAACAGCATGAGCATCGATCTACGCAATTGGGATACGATGACATGTGTAAACCAAGTCAGTGAGCCTGACCACCCGATCCCGTTAGTCGCCTTTACGACTGGGTTGCTGAAGACCAACTCTAACCCGGATCTCCACTGACAGTTGCTCGCAATACCATCTATGGTTTGTCTGGTCCAGACTCAATTATATACTATACTGCTGATTGCGAAATACACGCCAAGCAAACACCAATAAACCATATATGGTTTTGGACAGTATTGTCAAAGTTTCGAATTTCGAATCGCATGTGGGCGGTGGGGTAGCCAAGTGGTTAAAGCGTTCTCTCGTCACGCTGAAGGCCTGGGTTCGATTCCCCACATAGGTACAATTTGTGAAGCCCATTTCTGGTGTCCCCCGCCGTAATATTGCTGGAATATTGCTAAAAGCGGCGCATTAACCCATACCCAGTCAGTCAGTCGAATCTCATCTTATGGGGCCAACAATCTTTTAGGGATCATTTCCATAGTATGCATCGCCATGATTTCAGGTAAAATTGACAGTCCATCAAACGATTCCGAGAGCTGTTTTCTGGACGGTTTTCAGTTTTCTGATTGCCGCAGCGCACAAAGCTGGGTGCCTTTAATGTTTGTCTGCGGGTGCCAACATTTTAATTCTGAAATTAAACTTTCGTCTTCCTTTCATGCACGGGATAAATCAAACAACATATTTATCCCTAAACATGTGACGCACAGCCATACGTTCTAGTCTCATTTCCCAAAACAAGCTGTGTAGTAGTTCTTGGGATGGATGCCAAAAATATTCAACTATGCATAGAGCCTAGGGTTAAACGGCTAGTGTGATCTTTGATGGGGCAGAATGCATGTACTATTTATTCTCATTCGTGTCATATTTTACTTACATGACATTATATCCGCGAAGATCCGGGTTAGAATTGATCTTCAGCAACCCACGCTTGTTGTAAGAGGCGACTAACGGGATCGGGTGGTCAGGTTCGCTGACTTGGTTGACACATGTCATCGTATCCCAGTTGCAGAGATAGATGTTCATGCTGGTTATCACGGATTGTCTGGTCCAGACTCGATTATTTACAGACCGCTGCCATATAGCTGGAATATTGCTGAGTGTGGCGTAAAACTCTACTCACTCACATGACGTTATAGACGACCACGTGTTTTGTAAGGTCGTGGAATAATCAAACACATATTCATACAAACCGAGACCAAACAATGTGAACTCATTAATGGAGGTTATTTGGAGTTTGTTTTGGAAGGTAAATATCCCGTGTTGGGAATACACATTAGTTAACTCAATATATAGGGTTGGTTCTTATACAATATAGGCTACACATTCGTTGGCAAAATGCCGAGAAACCTAACCATTATATGATAAAGCAGAATTTCCGTTCAGGAATGAAGCACGACCTGGTTGGAGGAACATTTAGATGTCCTGCCCAAACTTATGACTCCAAACCTGAAACATTCTAGATTAACCTAAACTGATGTGCAAAAGAAAGTACACAGGTTGTGTTTCTTCCAATAAGATAAAAATAACAAAACCTTTTGATGAAATGGAAAATGTATGTTGAAGCACACTGCAATACACGTGTTTTATCAGCAAAATGACATTGTAACAATAAACAGCGATGTAGTGATGACCACTGCAGTCGGTTCCTACGATGCTGGAAGGTCAAGGCAATTCCACGTAGCGGTCGGTAGGCCAATACATGCCAGCAGGACGAAGTCGTCTTGTCACTGTGAATCGGCTTACGCGATGACCCAATGATGTGGCTGCTGATGACGTCACCGTCAACATCCAGTTGCGTAGGTGAATAACCCGCAGACAGCGATCCTCTTGGGGTGTTGTGACTCTGGAACGTCCACTTCTGGGTCGATCACATGTCTGGCCTGTCGTACTGAAACGGTTAAACAGCGGAATTATGGTTTGTCTTGTGCAACCCAATGTCCTTGCAATATCGCTGTTGACAGCACCCATTTGTGTCATTCCTTTGGCCCGTTCTCGTTGCGCCGACGTCAATCTTGGCATTTCCTCGTGAGATGTCTTCACGACAAACAGGTTTTATACTCTCTGTCAGAAAAGTGCTGGTGCATGGGACAATAATCACAATTTTGCAAAAATTCGTGCAAAACACGTACAAATGTTTTTGGTAGCATTTTGGCAAATGAAACATGATGGTTGCGTTCTACCCAATCAATGTTTTTCAATAATTTTATTAGTTAGAACGCTTATTTGGGATTGCAACAACAATTACACCTGTGTACTTTCTTTTGCTCGTCAGTTTATATATAGGCCTAGAAATTTAGCACCTTTACTGTAGGACAAAATAATTATATGATGAAAAGTGGATTGATCAACGTTATCAAACGTTACAAGGCTGAAACACTACAAACTTTAGGGTTGCAAGCACACCCGCGTTAACCGTATGACATATACCACCACTGAATAACCATGTCTTGTGAGTGAGTTCAGTTTTACGCCGCTTTTAGCAATATACCACCAATATCACGGCGGGGGACACCAGAAATGGGCTTCACACATTATACCCATGTAGGGAATCGGACCCAGGCCTTCGGCGCGACGAACGAAACCACTAGGCTACCCCGTCGCCCCTTAACCACTATCAAACATGGGTGTATACTTTCTCCAACCGGCAGTGTGTTTGGGGCTGCGAGTTTGGGTTAGGTATTGCAGGTGTAAATCGTGTATAGAACATTTATAGTATATTCTTAGCATCAGAAGTAGTCACGTAAAATAGATTTCATATATCAAATTGGCAAATATTTTAGCTACATGTATGTACATATTAGTGGCCAGTGAGTTTCAGAAAGGGAACCCAAGTAGTACCAGCGGAGTATCTACAGTTATGATTTGCAGCTAGGAAAGAATACCCCTCGAATCCCATTGCTAAAATAAATCACCATTTTGATGATTTTTACGAATAAGTGTTTTCATGGGAAAGTAACTTGAATACGATGAACAAAACACAATTTACATTTTAAAAGGGTGTACGTATTTAGGGATTTAGTCAGTTATGAAAAAGAAAATAAGGCACAACCTTGGTAGCCAAAGGGAGATAATAAAGGAAATCTTCTAAGAAAAGAGGACCAAAAAGTACCCTGTTCCGGTTTGGTAGAACTGCTTGACGTTCGTGACGTTTTCTGTCATTACTAAATAACGAAACAAGTGTGACTTAATTCAATGGCACACAATGCTGATCAATGTGAAACCGAACTAGTAAGATCGAAATCAGTGGATGAGAAAGTCGCGGAACTTGAACTGAAGACCCGAGCGCTACACGATGCAGAACCGCTGGCGAGGATCCTCGTGCTGTACACAGGGGGGACGATTGGAATGGTTACCAAAAATGGAGGTTGTGCTGTTTTCTGAAAACGATTTATGTTAAAGCACATATCATTTTGTGTTGGAGTAGCGTCTTATCATAAACGGACTGTTGTCAAGGAAACAGACGTTCAGTTTTTGAAACTGCGACGGAATTGTTGAGACACCTTTAGGTCGTCAATCTTTGATCTTGATTCTCCTTCATGGTCCAGTTGACTTATACGCAATTAATCTTTACGCCACATTAATCAACGCCATGGTTAGGTCATACTATTTAAAACGTTTCATTGAAAAGATACAAGCCAATAATTATTTATTTGGGAGACTTGTACTATTATTGTAAAAAGTATGCACACTATCGGTCTATGAACAGGAACATTTAAGTGACCCAGATATAAGTTTAGTGTACCTGTGAAGGTAGGTAATGTGATGGTCATATGATATTTTTATACAAACTGCCAATCATTGCAGGAAATTGCCAAAATCAAAATACCATGTGACTCTTCTTCTAAGTCATTGTAATATTTCTTTACTGTGCATTTGACATATTTGGATGAGTTAGTTATAGGCCACTTTTAGCAATATTCCAGCAATATGACAGTGCGAGACGCTAGGAAGGGGTTTCACACATTGTACCCATGTGGGGAATTGAACCTGTGTCCTTGGCTTGATGGGCAAACGCTTTAACAACTAGGATACACTAGGTATACATTGTTGAAATAATGTGAGCGCTGATGTACTACTTCGTCATTAAAAGGATTACAACTTCTGTTTATTGTGTGGTCAAGCAAACTACAAACAATGTTCAGTAGAGCAATTTCAAGTGTAAATATGGTCATGTCACTTCTACAATTATATTCTGTGAAATAACTGGTAGTTGTTTGAAATTGTGTACACATTCCTTGATGTATTAAATATGGAACTGAAAAATCATCAGAACTGACATTCACTTTGTGTGTATCATTAGAGCAAGAATCTTCAGTGAGTGAAGGCCAAGCTGTATGAATGTCAGTGACAGTCTTTCTTAATTAAATGTGTAATGTGTAATTAAAGGTGACTGATCAAACAGCATACAATGTAACACAGTATTTTGACTGGCAATTTCCAACAAGGCTTAAAACTCCTTTATATTGAAATGTCTATTTGATATGTATTATAATGGATAACGATTAAATGACAAACTGGAAATAAGAGCATAGGTCACTATGACCTTTCAATGAGAACCATGACAAATATATATCGAAATAGTTTTGACAGTAACGTAACACAGATCATGGTCTTTAATTTTCCACTGTAATATTGACTGACAGTTAAATATTCCTATGGATTCAATATTCAGATTTGTATTGAAACACTTATTATTCATTAAATATAACCGACCATTTACTGTTATTCTAAATGTCTTTGTGATACAGTGTATGAGCCGGAGCCTGACTGCATGGTGCAGAAACTGAGAGCTCTTCCCATCTTCCATGATGCTGAATACGGAGATGCTCATTTTTGTGCTGAAACAGAGGCGAATCATCTCGCTTTGCCGTAAGTATGTCCATTACATTGTGTTATACAACAAAGTTAGGAATAAGGTAATATCAGTGTGAAAAATATACTGGAATATGACGATTACAAGTGTGTCAGACATGACAGATCAGATGTTTGTTACTTGCTATAGATATCAAACATTAATTTGAAACATTCACCAGCACTCATCATTTGGGAAAGTGTTAATTGAGGTTCAAACATTGTTAAAGAAGTCCTTTATCTTCCTACTGAGTAATTTTGACTTAAAATTCAAAGAAACACTGAAAACAGCATGGTTGTTACATGAAATGTAGTTTTATATTCACTTGGAATTTGAAAAATAGATTCTGTGGTTCATATTTCATTTTTATAAGGTAATTACCATGGTTACAGTATTTTCACTCACCACGATGCCATATGATGAGGGTAATAGACCTGATATGTTTCTTATGTGACTATATGTGTATGTATGGTGTAATGCAGGCTGCTCAAATCGAAGCTGAAAACAGATGGCCAACATTCTCCAAATGGGTAACACTAACAATCACTTTGCTTGCCTACTGACTCACTTTACTCATTGTTCATATTGTTTGTATGGGCTGTATGTGGGTGTACTGATGTCATGGATGACGGAGACGACTCTCACTTTGACGTCACTCACCTCTGTTCCTCTAGTAGGACTGAGGGCAGACGACTCTCACTTTGAAGTCACTCGCCTCTGTTCCTCTAGTAGGACTGAGGGAGACGACTCTCACTTTGATCTCACTTTGAGGCAGACGACTCTCACTTTAATTCACTCGCCTCTGTTCCTCTAGTAGGACTGAGGGAGATGACTCTCACTTTGAAGTCACTCACCTCTGTTCCTCTTGTAGAAGGATGTAGAAGGACTAATTGATTAATACTACTACTGGTGTATGGTAGATGAATCCTAGGTAATGTAGATGGTGTCATTTAGACTTGATAGTATTTACAAGATTTCTGAATCATATAGTCTTTAATTTAGACTTATTTCCTTGTCTTCTTTCAGCATGTTTCTAAGTCTGTATTTAATATTTGAAAATAATTTTAAAAATTAACAATTCTGTGTTTGGTTGGTTTGGCATTGAAACTTGAATTTGATTTTGTATCAGTCCCTTTGTGTATTGAAAAAAAAAATCTGTTAAATATAAAAAACTTGCCTGACCTTTCTTATGAATAATTGTATGAATCCTTCAGAGATAAGGAAAACTATTAGACAGGAAAAATCAGAGGGTGTGAAAAACAGTTATTTCTATTTTGTGTGCAGTAGCATGATTACCATTATTCATTTTTATTTGTTGGATCACAGTTATATTTGGGTCGAAGTCAACAGTCGTGGAGGAGGTGACATCACTTTTTTAGAATTAATACTGGATCACAGAATGTTTTCCTCTAATATTACCCATCGGAAATATACATGCATAAGATCAAAATATATTACTCTCTCAAGCATCATCGTGTCAAAGTCAAAGACAAGGGACATAACTCAAGATTTATTGTGCAATGAATTTTGTTATGATTAGCCTCATCAACTGAACGACTTGGCAAAATGATCATGTCAAATTGAAAATCCTACATTTACAAATCAATTTTTTTAAAGCTTGGAATAATTGCAAAATATACAAACTGGTTGTTAACACGATAAACTTGGATATTATATTTCTCCAGTTTTGAAATAAACCACATGAATGCAAGACCAGTGATCCATCAAATTAAAAAATCCTGAAACTCTTTGTGTTGATATATCCATCCTTGGGCTTGAACCAAATGTTTCAGTGGGCCTGTTTCATTGTTGTGGATTTAAGAAATACAGTTCGCTCTACCACCATGAATAGTGTAAAAAAGCGCACTTTCGCCCTGAACTATTATAGTTAAAGCACGAGGATGCTTGCGTCCGAGTGCTTTAACGTTATAATAGTTCAGGGCGAAAGTGTGCTTTATTACACTATACATGGTGGTAGAGCTAACTGTATTTCTTTTCTAACGTGACAAATTTAATACTTTCTAAGGATAATTACAATTAATTTAAGCAGAAAACAAACGACTGTGTCAGTGACCTAAATTAAGAATCCTCGCACAGGGCTAACTGGCGCGCTGTTCTATTGATGTGTCTGTCCCCCTATGTTAAAACGAACGTTACCAGAAAAAAACAAATGATAACAGTTTCATGGCGGTTTACGTACGGATTAAATACCTTCTCTAAATTATTGTAATTACATCTATGATTAACGTAAACCATATGGGGCAATATGAACATCGCATTTCTACTACCAACGTAATTTTAGATCAGTACATCCAGATGAAGCTGAGTAGTCAAGCGACATTCCACGATTGCATTGTGGGAATGTAAACATTGTGAACATTACCGTGTCGCTGAAAACTTGTGAGTTGAATTGAGACATTTTAACCGTTCGGAAAACATAAACGTAATGATTCCACCAGTGATGTTAGCTGCGTGAAACAACTGCAAACCAAGAAACGGGATGCAAAGGAGTAGTTTACTGTAGGAGGCTGTACGAGGCGATGACAACTGACATGCATCGTGATGTTGCTTACATTGTGACTTAACGCAAATTTGCTTGATTATGAGGGGGCAGACAAGAATGGCGCGGTAACGCCAATACATTGTGACGTAATGCAAAAAGTGCACATCTGATAAAGTACTGTCGGCGCCTCTGATCTTTCACCGAAGCATCTTAGAATAAGATATAATATAGTTGGGATCATGATGGATATGGTCATATCCTACCTCCAGGTCATATGTCACTACAGTGGGTCTTTGTTACTGGGAACAGTATCATTGCCAGTGAAAAAGTCCAGGAAACTAATGTTCAGAGAGTTGAGTTAAAGGATTGGAGTATTGTCTCTGGTATACCACTCACAAGACCAGTAGTGTTTTTAGCGCTTTTGGGGTATTAAAATGGACTCCGTCCGTCGCGTCCGATTTGTCATGTCTTTAGCAGAACTCTAAAACCGTTCAATATTTCTTCACCAAACTTGGCACATAGATAGATCTGGTGGTGTACTGATGCCTTTTGGTAGTTTTGGAATTCTGGTTAAAATATTTTTGGCATTTCCGTGGCAACAAGTTTTGACTTAGCCTGAAATTGGTGATAGTGCTATTTTCTGGAGCAGAACTTTAAAAACCTTTCAATGCTCTCTTTCCACTTTTCTATATACACACCTAAATATTTGACATAATCATAACTCGTAGACATAATCATGAAGAGTATTTTGCCATTGCGGGGGATATTGATGACTTTGTCTTCTTGTTCATATTACAATGGTTAATTTGTCATGTTTTAGATATAACTGTACAGTTATTGAAGTATTGACATGACAGACTAACTATAGTAATATGAAACTATTGGGTTTTCTCTATCTTCTTTAACTTTATATGAAATAATGAAATGTCAGCCATTAATCTGTACATGACAAATCACGCATATCAATGCAGATGAGGGTAGCTTGATTCTGTGTGTTAGAAGTAAGGTTATGTTCTCTTCTCAATGCTGATTTTCATCAGGAGAGCTCTGTCACATATTTGAAGTCCATCTGCCTCTAAGATTTTGTTCAGAATTTTAATTTGAAACTCTGGATTTGGTTTTGGTTTTGTGTGATATTATGTAGAGATCTTTAGAAAGTTGATTGGGTCCATTGTCTACCATCCTGGATTAGCCAATGTAATGTATTTTTCTTTAACATTAACAGGGCTGCAGATAAAGGCCGTATCGTGGTATGTACGGATACAAAATAAGCACGATACGACAGGAAATAATTTAGGAAACGTTGCAGATACGCACCATAGCAATGGTGTATGGTCTTAGAATAATTTACAGACATATTTATCTGAAAAATTATTGTTTTATTGTATATTGACCTGTTTACACAAGAGTAGCAATGTTGTGGTGCATATATGAAACGAAACACAAGATTACTGATACACCATTAAATTCCATTCAGTACTCTAAATGTACTATTAAGTTTTTCCAGTACTCATGTATTGAAAAATTAAGGAGTACGTACTCCTGATGTTGAAATCTTATCTGGAGCCCTGCATTAAAAAAAGTAATCATTACCCTTGCCCCATTGTCATCATATATTAATGTCAAAAGAATGCAGATATAATACACTTGATAAATGAGGATTTTCTTGTACGTGTTCAAATAAATCTTGAAAAATACTTGATAAGAGTTTTGATACCTATGCAAAATGACAAAGGTGTAATTGTAAACATCTGACAGTTACTTTTGCCATTACTTATCAACCTCATCTACTACATGTGTACTTAAGTTTGTTAACTGGCAGTGAAACTGTGGATACTGTTGCTGGTGCTATGAATGATACTCAGTGTTGAAGCCCATTTCTGTGTATATCATCTGCTATGAATAGTTGTAGTTAGTTGTTAAGCAAGTATGTGAGTCCTATGAATATTAGATCATGATCTAAATACATGTATTCCGATTGTGGTAACTGATTCCTTTCGCACAACCAGAATCTTTGTAGCCTGTATATCATCTGGAAAATAATAGGATGTGAGAAACATATTTTATTGCAGTTGCATTTCAAGTACATTTATTGTCAATATTTGTGAAACCCTGTTTTATGTGACTTTTAGAAACACCAGTATGAAGGCTGATTTGCTCAATAAATATTATTATAATAAAGTACAGGTGTGGTACTGAAACACTTACTGTCACACTTATGTGTTAAGTTTGAAGCGAGGTGAGATCCAGGAACCAAGTCATAGGAAATATATGATGATACAATTGTCATTCACTGGCTATTAAGAATAAATCTGTTTGTCCTTAAAGTTGCTGAAATTGACTAAGTTGCAATGAAAAGTCATCACTTGCAGCAAGTTGCTGTGTTTCTACATTGGTGACTGGCTGTGCTGTGATGTTGCTAAAATATTGCTAAACATGCTAAAAGCAGTGTCAGATTAAGTTCACCACTTCTTGGTGTCTGGAAGAAAACTGATGGGACAAACACATTTGGATATAAATATCTGCAGCTTATGTCTGTCAGCTATATGTTTGTCATCGTTTGAACCTCCAGAGTCTGCAAGATGATTGCAATACTATTTTGAATATATAGTGTAGTTTGAAGACATCTGGTTATGTGTTGTTGAAGATGGATTTGTATTTCTAACTTTCTGCCTTTATACCTACTAGGGGTGGGTATTGCAGAGAATTTTCATGTTGCGATATATTGCGATGCGAAAGCATGTATTGCAATATATTGCATGAAGTATTTTTAAACAAAAAAACACTTATAATCAAGTTACTTCTTGATTTATAGAGCAAAAACACAACAAAATCACTAGGCTTGATTAAGCTTTAATAACAACTTTTAATCATGATAAAATAAAAATGTGAATAATATTTGGCACAAATGAAACAAGGAGATATCCGAACATTTCTGCGAGTGTTACAAAGTTTTCCGAATGCAAGTCAAAATACCAGTTTTCGATCAGAGTATCGCAATATGTATCGTTTTCATGTCTGAACAGGTAAATACCAGTAAACCGGTTATATTGCGCAGCCCTAATACCTACCCTTCGATCTGCGGAGGCGGATCCAGAACTATGAAATAGTTGCAGCACATATCGATACCAGAGTGTCTTGACTGAGAGTGCAGGTGTAAAGTGTCTCAAAAAAAAGGTCGGCATGTCTGGATCTGCCAGCGAACCACCATCCCTATCCTCCCATTTGTGAATTTGGTGTCAAAACCTAATACTTAGTGCTGCTTTCCATTTCATGTTTGTTTGTTATTTTCTATCTTGTCAATTGTTATCAGGAAGGTTATGGAGAAGGTGTTACTTTCTGGAAATATGTCTGAACTTACAGTAAACATAAGAAATCATGACTGTGTACTTTATGGAATTGTGATATATTTCAATATCGTGGCAGGTATTGGTATATTTGTTAGCTGAGGCCTCACCCCCGATTTCAGACAGCTGATGGAATCTGTCTGTCTATATATTATAGCCTTCCCTAATTTGGTAATGAACTTCCTGTGAAAAGAGATTTGCTGGTACTGTAACCTGTGTGGTAGGTAATTACAAATCACTGATTTCAGAAATTATCCTAAATACACACACTGTTGTCTGTTTCCTTCATCAACTAAGAATAAATCTGTTTTGATAAATGACAAAGCCCATTTATAAAAATATATTGCAACCCAACTCACTGATGTTTGACATTTACTCTTGACCTGAAATGTCAATTTTAGTCATGTTTTTTTATGAGAAAGTTTCATCAAGAATTCTGCCGAGCAGGTGAAAATCGTGGAGGTGAATGTATCTGAAATACAGGAATTATGATGGTGGTGAAAATCTTTCACATCATTTCATCGACCATGCCATCCTGATGTTCATTTTGCACATAAACACCTTGTCAGCATGGTGAATGGAGCTTTCAGTGGAGAACAGTACGTTTATATGGAGTCTTCATGAATGGTTAATGGAATGTGCTATTTGTTGTGATTGTACAATGTCCAAGTTGGTCTGAAATTAATATTATATGAATTTTATATGCATGGACATTTTATATTTTCAAACCTCTTGAAGTCTAATAGGTACAAATCCTTCAGTTTATTTAGGATTCCAAACCAAGTGGGCGACAGTTTGGATAGAGATGGTTATTTAGCATGTCTGTATTCCTGAATTCAAAAGTATGTTAACAAAATTCTTCAAATTCTTTACCGTATTTGACTATACTAAGTACCCTGGTCCAACAAGCCACTTGACCAACGCGTAGACCTGCATGGGCATATATAACTTAAAGTAACATTTGTTGAAAATGTCAACAACAAAAAATATTGTTGAACAAAGTTTGTTGGCTGTTGGTTAACTACTGACAAAACAAACTTGTGTGTAGCGCGCCTGCTATTAATTTTCAGTACTTTCAGTAATTGCAGTCATATAATGAGTTTGGAACATTATACATGTTAAAGACCCTTTCTATATGTTGGTCCTGCTATCACAACAGTATCAGTAAAATATAATAGCCATAACATTAGTTGTATGTATAATAGCATGCAATGTGAAGATTGTATTTTAGGAATTTTAAGTCACATTAGCTGCCGAGTTGTGGCTGAATATGGGCTGAATATTCTTAACACTCTATATACAAGAAGAAGAGTAACATGCAAATATGATATGCATATTCAGAGGATATAACAGTCTAGTTGATAAAGCTACCATGCATGTAATTCACTGTATTGGATGTGAGCTGAATTTAAATACTCTTCTTGTTTCTCACAGCTTGTCATGTCTATGTTGTGTTGGAGTAATTGTCATGTCAGATGTTTTGGTTTATTGGTTTATCAACTTGACAAACATCCCTTCTATCCTCTCATCAGGGTGCTGACATGCTACGCTGATGTGCAAGGGTTGTATAGCTAAGCTAATTAAATATTTACTAAATATATTTATAACATTTATTTATAACATATATTTATAACATTTATTTATAATATATATATATATAATATATAATTAATATCAATCCAGGATCTGCTATATTTTCATATCTTTCACTTTCCCATCTAATTTTGTACAAGGAGAACCTAGGACAGAATGGATCCTTGTACATCATGAGTGAGTGAGTGAGTTGGATTTTACGCTGCTTTTAGCAATATTCCAGCAATATCACGGCAGGGGACACCAGAAATGGGTGTAACACATTGTACCCATGTCGGGAATCGAACCCAGCTCTTCAGTGTGACGAGCGAACGCCTTACTAGGCTACCCCACCGCCCCGTACATCATGATGGTCAAAAGAGTGGTATGTTGATCATGACATCAATCATTTGTTTCCAGGTTCAGATCTGTGTATAAAGGGCCACTGGGGTGTACAGTATCAGGGGTATCATTGTATATCATGATATTGATGTACCAGAAAAACATGTTAATCTTGATGTATAGAATCAAATTTTATCAATATTGATACTGAATTACTGAATCACTGCTGCAGAAACCATAACATTTGATAGAAACAGTGGTTAAGATTGATGATGAATGACAGGAGATTCAGTGTCAAACATCAAATGGATCAGCTACGTTCATTGTTAGCAATAAATCAATTAATTTCAGGTCTACTTTGGTAATTTATAACCATACACTAACAGAACAGTTGTATTTATTATTATCAATTATTATTTATATATATTAGGGTAATTTTGTATCCAGATATCAATTTTGAAAACTTTGCAGAAACGTGTCAAATATTTCAGCAATCTCTTTAAGATCAGATCACTGTGCTCTCAGCATGAGTACTGTAGTGTAGACAGATTGTAACAAGGACTATGTAAGGACTTACTATCATGATAACAGTTGTGTATGGCTGAGGAGCCATTGTGTTATTGTGTTACACGTACTAATGAATGGCAGAAAAGGGAATAGTCATTGACAAGAGCATTTATATGCATGACATTTCTTATATACCCACAGACTGGCAATATAGAGACAAACAACAGACTCATATATTTCCAGGGGTGGAAATAACCCATTGCCCGACATCCGAGTCCAGTGTTTTTTCTGTCGGGCAAGCAATTTTGTATATCATGCTGTACCGGTGTCCAGTTGACTTTCCAATATTAATAATGTTGTTTATTTAAAAAATCAACGAGAAAACGGCCGGTATAGTGGAAAAATGATGGGGCAAGTGATTTTGCATGTGCCACTGTACCGGAGTACACTAGCAATTTTAAAGTTATTTCCACCCCTGATTTCTCTCATTGAATATCATAAGCAGTATTAATAGTGAGGAGTTAACACTAATCGATAGATGGCTTTGTTTCAGTTTATTCCAACAGTATTTTATCATGGGCCCCCCCCCAGTATTGATTCTGATTTGATTGATACACTTGATGATTTTGTTTATCGAAGGTAAGTTGTGTCTATAGGTTTTTGCTTTGTGGCAGGCTTACAAAGGAGGAGGTCCGAGTGCTGTTCACAGTGGAGGAGTTTGAACCTCTCCTAGACTCGTCCAACATGAACATGCAGGACTGGGCCACCATTGCCCACAGGATACAGGTAGTTATCTCCCTTTAACAGTTGGATGATGTGAAGAGAGACTGTGTGTTTTGGAAATTATGTTCAGAAATGTTCAGTGTCACTCATAGGGATAGAATGATCCTGTTTAACAACTTACACATATTAGCATCATAGTGATGTTATTATGCTGATTGGTTAGCAGTTTGATGGTGCTGCAATACTTCATTGTTTAGAGAAATATGATGTCACCCATCAGGGCTCCAGATAAGGGCCGTATCGTCGTATGTATGGATAAAACATATGCACGATACGGTAGGAAATAATTTAGAAAACATAGAAGATACGCACCACGGCAATGGTGTACGGTCTTAGAACCATTTACAGACGTATTTTTCTGAAAAAGCATTGTTTTAGTGTTTATTGACCTGTTTACACAAGAGTAGCAATGTTGTGGTGCATATATGAAATGAAACAAGATTACTGATATTCCATAAATTCCACTCAGTACTCTAAATGTACTCTTAAGGTTTTCCAGTACTCTTGTATTGAAAAAATAAGGAGTACATACTCCTGATGTTGAAAAATTATCTGGAGCCCTGACCCATTGTTCATGATGTCACACGTCACAATGTGGCTGAAATACTGCTGGGGTGACACTAAGTTATAACTCACCCATGGCATCACAAATTTGTTTCATTCCGCCATCTGACCAGTAGGGTGCCTTGGGTGAATTTGGTCTGCAGAGATATTTTTATTTTCACTTTCTGTCATATGATATGAAATGAGGCATAAGTTCTTCACAAGATACTTTGGATTGATACATGTCCTTCACTATGGAGAGATCATCCATAATTCCCAGGAGCTTGTGAGTTATTATCTGAATATTTTCTATGGTTAACCCTACCCGAAAGGTAATACCTACTAACTTAGCCTCTTTATGTATGTGGTTAATTATCATCAGCATTCTGTTATCATCAGCACTCATTTTGTGCATGTTATTATTGGGTATATATTTGTGAAATTTGTATATATTCATTTCGAGGCCGTTTTAGATGCAAAAAGAATTTCCTCCGGGATAATAAAGTTTCATCTTATCTTATCTTATCATCATCATCTTACCCGTGAAGGCCCGGGTTAGAATATTGATCTTCAGTAACCCATGCTTGTCGTATGAGGCGACTAATAGGATCGGGTGGTCAGGCTCGCTGACTTGGTTGACACATGTCATCGATTTCCAATTGTGTTGATCGATGCTCATGCTGTTGATCACTGGATTGTCTGGTCCAGACTTGATTATTGACAGACTGCCGCCATATAGCTGGAATATTGCTGAGTAAAACTAAACTCACTCACTCTGGTTAACCCTGTGGACTGATGGCATGTTATGTTAATTTGCAGGACAACTATGACCGGTTTGATGGTTTTGTTGTTCTGCATGGCACCGACACAATGGCGTACACTGCATCAGCACTCTCCTTTATGTGTGAACACCTGGGCAAGCCAATCATACTCACAGGTTCACAGGTAGGTGGGGAATATACATACAACCATTATCAACTAAACATGAATGCTATAAACAACGAATGCCAAGGACTGCTAAGTTAAATTGTGTTAACATATTTGTCATATACATTTCGACTATAATATTAAGCAAGTGTCTGGGACCAATATACAGTTTGTTATATCCATCAGTTTGTTATTCCCGTGTTCATTATAAAGAGTTCACTGGATTATTTTATTTATAGGGATGAAATTAAAATTGAAAAAAAATGATAAATTACAGAGAATTACAGAAATTGGGAGAATGTAGGTGAAAGTGTGGAACCAAATGGCATTTAATTTATTGGTAACACGTTTACTTTTACTTTTTGTTGAGATGTGTATTTTTGTTCTGATTGTGTTTTACATTGATCACTTATGTCTATGGCAGATCCCTATCTATGAAGTGAGGAGCGATGGACGAGACAACTTTCTGTCCTCTCTCATCATAGCTGGGAACTACTGCATCCCTGAGGTGAGCTGCTACGCCTGATGTAACTGTACCTAATGGGGATTCTGGGTTAGATTAGTTTTTGTTGTTTAATGTAGCACTCATTAATATTCCATCTATATGGCAGCGTTCTGCATATAACTGAGCCTGGACTAGATAATCCAGTTATCAACAGCATTGATCTATGCAATTGGGATACGAGGATATGTCAGCCAAGTCAGCAAGCCTAACCAGCCGATCCTGTTAGTCACCTCTTATGACAAGCATGGGTTAGTGAAGACAGGTTCACGCATTGGGTTAGATTAGTGCCCAGCAACCTACCCATGTCATACGGGACATGTAAGTTGATCTGGGGTTCAGGCTGTTGAGGGATTTGCCTGCTTCGTTAGGAGAGACACTGACTGCTGCACTGATTAATTGCAGTACATTCTGTCCAGTAACAATAATTATCTGTTGCTGTATACCTCTCAAGGAGAAGTAAATGAAAATGTATTTTCAGAGGATGAAAACAATCTGCAAAAATTAAAGCTTAACTAAAAAATTAAAATTAGAAAAATTATTTTCTTACAAAATGCATAATGATGGTAATATTCATAGTATTTTTTATTCATATCAATACAACCACTAAGTATTGCAGCTTGTGCCCAGGTGAGGAATCAAACCCAGGCTTTCAGTTTGATAACAGAATGCTGTAACCACCAGGCTACTTCACGTCGATGTGCATCCAACTCTTGCTCATTTCATTTTGCCTGGCCAAAAAGGTTGTATCTGCTTTATTGCTTGGAGGGTATGGTGATCTCTGGTATTTTAATGTTCCAGGTGCTTGTATGTTTCAACGAGAAGGTGTTCCGAGGTAACCGCACCATCAAGAACCATGGCATTGAGACCGACGCCACAAGCTTCAGTGCTTTCAAATCCCCCAACATGGCCCCCATTGTTACCCTGGAGATTGATATTTCAGGTAGTGACGCGTACAGTCTGTGACATACTGTCTTCATAAACACAACTTACAGCCTTGTACAGTCATCTGTTGAGTTGTATTATTTATCATATTTGAAAACAGTTTCAATTTGTAGTGACTAATTTGGTATGTTGTCATAAATATTTCTCGAAGGTTTAGTGCATGTGTGCAGTTTGGTCTGACAAACAGATTGCAGACATTGCCAAATATTTCTGCAGTGTTTGTCTGTTTCTATTGTATTTCTTTCAGTTGTACTTAATGCCCCAAATTATCGTTATCTTGTTTGAACTGTCTATTTGAACAAGACCCGTGAAGGCGTAAAACTCAACTCACTCACTCACTATTGGAACAATCCCAGCACCGTTTTACTTCACCATTTTGTGGTGTTTCATCGGCTAACCAACACCTTTTTGGGCTTATGTTTCATGAACCAAAATCAATGTAGGGTAGGCCATGCTCACAAACAGATAACTGTTTTCCTATTGGCTGATAATATTGGGGGGGCGGGGCTTGTGATGCATTATTGTGCTGAACGATGTCACTGAACTGGAACTGTTGTCAACAGTTTTGTGTGAGGTAATGATTGAATAAGCAGTCTTATGGTTTATATCTAGACAAGAATTGACATTCAATATGTTTTTGTGGAGTTATGAATGTAGACAGGCACACTTGCATGATGCTGATCTGCATCCAGTTTCCATGATTGCAAACAATATTCTTAACTGAAAACAAATGTTTCTCGATACCATCTACTGTCCTGATTATCTTTGCAGTGGACTGGGCGGAAGTGTTCCGCAGTGGGACCACGGAGAAGTTCAGTGTGGCGACCAACTTCTGCCCCAATGTGGGACTGTTGAGGATCTTTCCTGGCATAACTGCCCAAACAGTGAGTGCAACATGGCTGCAGTATTGCCGAGAGCAACACAAGACTACAAGTAAACTAATAACCAGTGTAATTCCAGACAACATGGCTGAAATCTCATGAAAATACTTTCATGAATTCTACTACTGTATTCAGATCTTAGTGCCTGTTAAGGTCCATGTGTGAAACTGAAGACAGACTTTAGCTATCGAGGACTTTCTGATGCTTATGGTACTGGTTTCAAACTTGTGACCCATTCCAGACATCTCTTTGAAAATATTTTTACAAAGTGTTCGATTAAAAGTTTGGAAAGTGGTCAAAAGCAACTTCGTGAATGTGAAATGGCCAAGATTGTATGTCAGGAGTTCCACTGGTCTTTTCCATGTTTCTCTGTATATAGAATTATGATTTGGGTTACTCTGTCATACTGCCCTTTTCAAGGTTGTGTGTTTGAAAACACTTCTAACTGTCCACCAATCGGGTCAGCGTTGCTGTGATTGGATGGATGAAAGCTAGTTCCTTTTATGGATTGTCCTCAGATCTGATTTTAGAATTGGGTTACTAAATGTATAGTCTGTAAAATGGTTCACTGCACAAAACTCTTATTTTTCCTTATCCTGACTCATGCTCTTTTTGCTTGTCTTCTTCTTCTTGTGAACATAGTGGAACACTTGTATCTCCCTAATTGAAGCTCCCTTCAATGTAAAATCACTAATTAGTACTCACCACGAGTTACCTCCCTTCCACAAGCGCGGGAACGAGAGCGCCACCTCCACCCATGTGCCTCACTCTCTCCTTCTTCGCCCAGTGAGCTGGACGTGAGAGCGCCTGTGTCTCCCGACACACTATATCCTTTGATTATATTTAGTTAGTTACCCTGTTATAGACATCTATAGAGGTTTAGCTAGTATCCTTCAACAATTATATATGGATATTTAGTCGTGTTTCTACTGTTTATTCACGGGGACGTGTTTGTTTCAGTGGATTACGTTGATGAAAATTCTGTACTGTTGCAGATTACGCTTTTATTCTGCTGCTGATCCGCATTTAATATGCCCTAGTTGTACTCGCGCCATGTTCATTTTATTCACGTTGCAGTTGGCGGTACTAATTTATCCAATTCTGCCTTTATAAATATTTACTTTGGCGCTTTTGAGACGCGCAGCAGATAGGTCGGCGTATGCAGAGTCTAGCATGACTGATACACCTGAACCCCTCGCCAGTCTACTGCTGTTGGTCGACCCCCCTCCCGTGGGGTGTTCCGCTAGAGTGGTGGAGAGGCGTGGGACGTAGTCCGCCGCCTCAAAGAAGCGTCCTGCTTCCCCAGACATCCCATCGTCGCAGCCGAAGACTAGAGGGTTTCTACTGCATCTCAACGCAGACTTCGCACCCCCAGGGCAGCATCGACCTCTGAGGGGAAATCAACGAAGTCTACTAGAACTTTCTCAGCCGAGATTGTTCCCATCGCAGATTTGGGCCTGTATACCTGATGTACATCAAAAGAATGACCGATGTCGGCAACAGTGATGTCAGCGCAGATCAACATGCAGCCTGATGTACCAACGCTGATATTCGATGATCTTCCTGAAGGTCCCGTCGCTACCAACACTCAACGCAAACTTCGCACCCCCAGGGCAGCGTCGACCTCTGAGGGGAAATCAACGAAGTCTACTAGGACTTTCTCAACCGAGATTGTTCCAGCCGCTGAACTGGGCCTCTACGATGATCAGCCGATCATCATCCCGACGCACGCCACAAGAAGCGACCGGTGACAGCTACAATGACATCAGCAGAGATCGCCATGCAGCCTGATGTCTCTACCCTGATGTCAGACGACTTCCCTGAGGGCCCCACCGCTAACATCGCAGAGAGGGCACCGACTACTTCGTCGCAGACCATCCCAGATAAACTGTTGCGGCAAATCATGATCATGATGGAGGGCCACTACAGACGGGAGAAGCAGCCAGCCCAGGGCCTGAGCCTTCGCAAAGGTTCCAACGCAGACGACACCCCAGAGGCACCCCCCGTCAGCGTAGCAGCCACGACGAAGCCACCTTCGCGCAAAGGAAGTCGCGAGACCCACTTCGTGAAGGACCCAGATGTACAGCCAGCCAGCGAAGCGGGATAGATCATCACCTTCCTCGGCTACATCCTTAGATGCAGACTCAGACCACCAGACCACACGGAAGCCTTCGCGAAGGTCAAGTCGCCGTTCCCCAGGACCGGACGCAGAGGAAGCTTCGCGAAGGCCTTCGCGAAGGACACCTGACCACAGATCGTCATCGTCCAGAAGGACTTCGAGGGACTACACAAGAGCTTCGCGAAGCTATCAACATTCTCCTCACAGGTCTCCGAGAAGGTCAACCCATAGACGCAGATCACCAAGACGATCGCCTCGCCGTTCACCGCGCCGATCTCCTCGTACATCACCACGTCGATCGCCTCACAGGTCACCACACAAGTCTGCACACAAGTCTACAGTCAGGTCTCCCCGAGCGTCACCCAACATAGAGATAGAAACACACAGTCCACCATCAGAAGAGCAGCAACCTCTCATCAGCTTATGCTGCTGGATAGAAGATGATAGAGGCATCATTTTCTCAGACGCTGAGATACGATATTGGATGGTAAACAACCTAGATCTCTCTTCACCTTCCAAGAGTGGCAACTCGGCGCAGACATACCTGATGAAGGAAGACGATGCAGATACCATCACCTTACCTCCGATCGACCCGATTGCTGCGGTGCCACAGAATGAGGACACAGCCTACCATAAAGCCATGAAAGTTCAAACGCCAGAGGCGTATGTTCTTGGCCTTAATAGATCTAGAACGATCAATAAGATTCTTATCACCAGATTTCGCGGACGCGACTTCTGAAGATGATAGGATGATCTACTCGGCTCTACTTATGCAGAACCAGCAAGAACCACACACCCTGTATGAAGCTAACGCTCATATATTGTTCGGACTATAAACACTTCGCTAAGGAAGTCCCAGGCGCCTCGCCAAGGAGCTAGAGCCTCACCAGTTACAAGGACGCCGCTGAGGAGAAGCTTCACCGACCCCACATCCTGTTAAACACAGAGGCCGTCAGCGAAGCAAGCATATATATATATATATACTAATCAGGCTTTGACTCGATACCTTCGCCTGAAGGCGAAGGCTAAGTGGCTCCAAGTCTACTTCACCCAGAAGATCTAGAAGGATACTTCCGAGAGCTTCGCGAAGTCTCCGGCGCTCACCGAGGAAGTCTCCTCCAAGGTCTCCATATACTAGCCACTGCGTCATATATAGCTACCGTCAGTCCGTTCAAGACATCGCATAAGTTGTCTATCAACTGTATGCCAGATGCCGATCTATAAGCCTACGCGAAGACAATTGCACAGGCTATTTACAACACAGAACGCCGCTGTATTAATTAGTCAACGACGCTTCATAGATCTTCACAGAAATCAACTGTTCCGTGATAGATTGCTAGAATATGCAATCCTGGACGATTTGATACGATTATCTACATGCGTGACCATTACGCATATCTGCAGACAAATCAATATTGAAATTGAACAGCAGCCTTGTTACACAGTATAACTCATAATCGCTAACGCTTCTGAGAAGAAATATGTACAACAAGTTCAGCTTTAATTCTACAATTATGACGATACATTCATGTATACAGTCTACAAGCTGACAACTTGCAAGTTTATTGTACCTTTATATAAGGAAGTCGGAATTATATTCAAAACTGAAGTTACTTTCACGACAGCCAGGAAAATAACCTACCCAGCATTAATATTACAGAGCGAGGTATTTCGCGCCGGAGGTTTCGCGCGTTTACCATTAACCTTCGAAACACGTGGTCACTCGGGTAACTTCGGGAAGCTACGGTGAAGACCGACGATTATGCTAATATCAACGACGGCAAGATTTTATACAAGGTTTTTTCCTGCTACACCGGTGACATCACAGCGCGGGTATTCTACAGAATCAAAATGCCTTGTTAGTTCACAGTTCAAGACTTACGTTACAAGTGACAACTATATATCAGTGAACGAGCAAGCCTCCTTACAGTCCAGTTAATCTGAACCTTCATGATTGGGCTGCTTTCTTCAGGTTAGAGACCTCCCCTGTCAAGTTAGGACGAGGGCACGGCAGTCGAGCGATTTTACATAAAGTTCAACGAGGACAGACACACCTGGTTGTGCACCTACATCGTCAAGGACTTCACAGCGAATTACCTAGGACGACGGGATACAAGTGGATCTAAATCCACAGCGCCTCAGACTACAGCTGAATTTCATCATCAAGCTACTAACACAACTAGATGGTTAGTAAACCTACTTAAGCTTTCTGATTGGAGAATTAAAACGAAGTTTCACGCTCCAACTTGGGGATCTGAATATAGTGTTCCAACACCTCACAAGTGAGGTTTATGAACACGCTTGGATGACATACTTGGACTCCATGATACGATGATTCTATCACGATGGCCAGCAAGAGCACTGTAAATTTATCTCCACTGAACCAAACAGGAAGGAAAAATGCAACAGATTATTTCCTCTATCATCAACTTACGCATGAGAATGAAGTCTCACGTACTATATCTCCGTTTGGATCAGAACTGTCATACCACGCGTGCATACAAGACGGATGGACCCAATCCGACCCTCCATGAGCTTTTAATACTCATGATATTAGAGCGCTAACTTCTACAATTGATCTACACAAATGTTTTGAAATAATGGAGGGTTTATTTCTGGAGATCCGATATGGTGGTTGCCAACCATTATCTGAGAGATATCACCACCGAGGACGTCTCAGGTATCCACCAATTCGATCCCATGGTCCTCGCACAACAGTTGACAGTTCCTCGGAGAAGATAAGTCAATCTTACAGATTTCTACTTATCTTATAACAGTACTAAATAGCTACATGCTATATATAATTTGCTTAAGTTCCTTTTATCATCACAGTACTATGATTATTACATCATACAATATATAAGTTAAAGAACCACTAAACTTT